TAATTAAACACTTTAATGCTCTTTTATTATTTACACTATGAGTTAAATATCAGGCGTTGAAAGGCAAATGATGAATTAGCAATGTTTTTTGTAGGTCCATCCACAAGATGTCTCTCATCTGTTAGAATACAGGTTTCAGTTGCTATGCTAAGAATCCAGTATAATTTTCACTACTTTTGAAGATTTGAGCAATGATAAAAAGATGCCAACTCTCTTGAGTAACAATTATGATCCAGGGATACAGACAAATAGAATGTTCTAGACAAAAATGGGAGGGCGATGGCTAGATACTGACCTTTGGGAAAAGGAAGTGCTTACAACAAACATTTGAGCAAATCTCTGAGCAAAATAATACTCAAATCTCTACCAGACTTTGCCCTTTGGGAGGATCTGGTTGAAGTGGCAGCTTGTAAACCTGCTCTTATGAGCCTCCAACATCGATCTATATTTAAAGCAACATACTTGGATTTATATTTGTATCTTATGAGAGAGATTTTTCTGCTTGGCTTTAAATAGGCTCCTGTTTTTGCACCCATGTTCCAGAAGCAGCAAGAACTGTGTATGCAACAGCAGATACAGTTTTATGTCCACAATTACCTATATCTGTAACTTGTGCATACAAAAAATAAAACAAGTCAAAGGTCACTGTTTCCTAACTATTTGTAGTTGCATGTTTGGGATCCCCAGGACAAAACAGTAACCCCCCTGGTTTTCTCACTGGAGAACTCAACAATTTATCCTACTAATTGGATTATTAAATTAATCCTTACTATTTTCTGGGGGTGGGGGAGGGGAATAAAGAATTTCCATCTAAAAGGTTTCATATATTAATGAGGTCTAATTAAAAAGGACCAGTTCAAGTGCACTGAATGGCATATCAATGTGAAATTACATTAAATGACCATATCCAGAAAGAAGTCCTGAGGTAAAAAAAAGCATAGGACACCACACTGGAATCTAGAACTCCCCCATCTCAGCAGAGCACCCGAATCCCTACCATCTAGAGTTCTTAGTTTCTTCCTGAATCTGGTGTCAATGAATCAACTGATATTCCTGGCTATTGCTTACCTTCCTTCTGGCCCCAAGTATCTGGCATTCCTTTCTGTATAGCATCAACAGAAATAACAGAGTACCCTATTTAACCTAGCCTAAAGCTTGGTGGTAAAACTGATCTCCAGGGAGACAAGGGAGGTATATCTGAACCCTTCAGACTAAGGAGGGCCTAAAACCCAGGTCTCAGACTTTGTGGGTAAATGCTCCAATTGCTGGGCTCTTCTATAAAAATGGTGGGGAAAACTTCCTCCTCATCACCACCAATGTGTTAACAGAATAGCAAGCCCAACTAATTCATTGAAAGAACAGTTGCTAGCATATCCCCTGAGGAAAGGATTCTAGACTCTGAATCCTGAGTGGATGGAGGCACCTCTCTGCAGCCCCAACTTGGGTGCCTATACTTTGGAAATGGGGTAGCAAGTTAGACATAACCTGTGCTGAGCATTTCTGATTAGCTAGCTTTAGATGGCTCCCTAGTCAGTGTGCAGGTTTTTGGATCTCCCTTCTGAGGTGTCTAACTCTGAATTTTGGATTTTACTCATAGGATCAGCCACTTACAATGTAGGCGTTGCAGCACCTAACTTGCAGTGACTTATGTCTTCATTGGATTTAAGCAGAACTCCCCCTTTTCATAATACTCTAGTGCACAATAGCCAGGAATATCAACTGACTCATTATCAGGAGATGCAAAAAGTTTTCAAGAAAAAAAGAAAGAGCCAAGCATTTTTATGGGCAATATCTTTTAATGGACTAGCTCCATAGTTGGGAGATACTTAGTCAAGTTTTCAGGCACAGAGTGCCCTGCCTCAGGTCTAAAAATGAAGTGGACAGCTTGAGCTATGTAGCAAAACAACAGCCTGTGTAAAAGTCCAAATATAAAAAACCCATCTGCTTAGAGGAATGGAGCAGGGTGGTAAAATAAGAGGTAGCATGTTACTTCAACACAGCTCAGCTAACGTCTGTAAAGGTTAGGATCTTTTTTGGCCAAAAAAGTGGGACTTTTTTGGCACTCTTATCTAATAGCTGATTGAATCAGCTTTAGCTAAAAGTGCCAAAAAGCCCTGCTAAAGCTCCCCACCTTTACAAACACTACAGTGCTGGGTTGAAGTAACCATGCTGCTGCTTCTTGTAAAGCATGTTTTCTTTTTTAAATATCTGCAAGCAGCCCAAATATCTAACAAGTAAAACCAAAATGGCCATGGCTCATGGGTGCTGAGTACCTGCTAATTTTTTTGGGTGGGTGCTTGAGCCCCAGAGTACCCATGGAGTTGGCACCTGTGCTTAAAATGCTAGCATTTGAGTGTTCAAACAGTAAAACAAAAGCTAAGTGCCAACACAGCATAGCGACGTGAGGCCTTTCCTGGCAAGGATTATCTATAGATGTTTTACCTGACACGTTGAACTAACATTGGACTGCTTCATGGAGGTAATATGATCAGGAGGCTCTGGTGTGGTGCCAAGGCTGGGACTGACAATCAGATGTTTGTTGTTTCTAGCCCCAGCACTGCACCTGAGCTTTGGACCAGCTCCTGTGTGATGCAAGTGCTGGGACTGACAGACAGCTGTTTGTTGCTCCCAGCACCCATATTGCACTGGAGCCTTGAACCAGCTCCAATGCAATGCAGGAGTAGGACCAACGAACAGCTGTTTGTTGGTCCGAACCCCAACAGTGCACCACAGCACAATGAAGTCTTCAAAGGCTCTAGCGCTTAAGCCATGTTTTGTTTAGATTGTAGTAAAAATTGCTGTGGGACTCCTCATAAAACTATCTAAACATAGTAATACTTATTATGATCTAAATAAACATATTCTAAGTGTAACGTGTCAAGAGGCCCTAAGAGGGAAGGGCATCACCATGAAAGCCACATGCCCCCAGAGGCTGGGGGAGGCACAGTGAGCTCCTGCAGGAAGCCGTGGCACTGTCAGTGGCAGAGACACTGCCAGCAGCAGCGGCAATCACAGACCACCTGCAGGTGTCACCGGCAGTGTCAGAAGCGTCTTTTCACAGGGGGTGCACCGCCACGCTCAGGGGGTGAACATGTACCCACGTGCACCCCCTATACGTCACCAATAGCCATCACTATCACCTGTGAAGTGCAGAGAGATTAACAAGGTATCAGGTATATTATAAGAAGCCATAAAATCAATTTCTGGGTTTAGTCCTTGGTTTGTAGTATCCAGTAAAATAAGGAATGTTTGTTCCCAGGCCCATCATCTGAAGGTGTTCTATAAATTTCCTTTGAGCACAAGGATTGTAAGGTCAGAAAAGGAGTAGCTTTTTCTGGGAAAAGTGTTCTACCTGTGTTCATGTGTCCCTGTCCTTAATCTTTTTTCCTATGATCATTTATGCTGGAGTGCAGCTTTGTCTAGTTTTAACTATGATAAAAAATTAAGAACAGTCTAACTCAACAAGACTGTGAACCTCTTACTTGTCCCTGCAATGCAGTACACACTGATTTCATAAGGCAAAATTTACAGACTAAGGTACTATGGAATAGAAGAGAAGGTGAAAGAATCTGGCCCATAATGCTAATGCATCATTAAGATGAGCCATGTTGGAAAAAATTGGGCCCTTTAAATAAGACAAGATACAGTTTGCCCTACTTTCCAATGCTAATACACAAACACATGGGAAAACCCTGATCACGTGGTGAAGAACGATATGACTTTAATTGTTTTACACAGAACATTTACCTGGGTTTAAAAAAATAACTGTTACTTTATTTATGCCTCTGGTAAACAAACATACTTTCTATTACAGCCCTGCTTTCATCTATTCAGGATTCTTCAAAACTTATCTTTAGGGTTGTCATTTTTAGTGCTTGGTCTTTTTCAGATCATGAGTTTTGCTTTGTTTTGGGGTTCCTTTAAGTATAAGCAGCACAAAATTCCTTGAGCTATTACTGAGTTGTGTGCATAAAAATACATTTTTCCCAATACAGAGAGAAAATAAAAAGTATTTCTAGAGGAGTGAAATAGTTGAAGTGGGCTGTACTAGCACCTCTGTTTAAGAAATGTTTAGATTTCAGAAAGTATTTGAAGATTATAATGAGTATGCTGACTAGGCATCTTTCTTAAGTCTGGAGCACTTTAAAATGTGGCTACAATGTGCCTGCAGCTCAGTCTTTAAACATTTTTTTTCATATTGGGTTAAAGAACGCTATTACTCTTGATTGGTTAAAGCTGCTTGCACCACTTTAAAGGTGCGGGGGCGGGGTGGGGGGAATGCCAATAAAGAAGTCACATGCTTGACTAGGACAATTTGGTGCAAGAATCACAATAGGGTTGTATGACTGGTAAGAAGGTCGTACACACTTAGGTTGCCTAGTGAATTTTTAAACTGCCCGTAAAAGGTCTGTACTCATGCTTTGTCTGCAGATATGCAAGATGGAGCATATCTAAATTCCATGTGTGACCACCAGTGTATCAGAAGCTGTCAAAAGCTCCATAAGTGAAATAATGTGACAATACAGTGCAGAATCTGTAATAATATCCAACTAGCTCTCCCCACCTCCCCTTCCCACCCCTCCCCTGATTTCCTCAGCCCAGGAGAGAACAGGATGGAAGTGGGAAACTCAGTCAGGAGCAAAGGGTTGTATTCAGGGGTCTAAGAAGAATTGGTTACAGTCGAGGACAGGTCCAAGTAGCAAGCCAAAAGAGGTGACAAGGGCTCTCTCTCAACTGGCAGATACTGCTTTTTAAGAGTCCTAGTAGATGATTTGTTTTGAAAAAGGGAAAAAATGAGACTAACAGTGCAGAGGCCTGGGTCAGTTCATGGTGTCTAGGATGAGTGTTTTCATCCTTAGTACAGAAATGAAGAGGATACATACATTACAGGCTCATCCCCCAAACCCTAAAGATGCTTCAGTGTAAAACAAAATTAACAGGATATTAACTCAGCCCTGCTGGATTTTACAGGAGAATTAGAGCAGGTTTGGAGATCTCACCTTAAAGGATTCAGCTTCACAAGTGGAATTCTTCTCCTCCTCTAGATCACACTCCCCATGCAGGTTGGCAGCACTAATGCCCTCCAAGCAGTATTCCTCATTCAGCTTGCTGTGGCAGCACTGCTCCTGGGCTATGCTGTCAATTGAAATTAAACAAAGGAAGAACAACATGCTTAGATCAAAGGCATATCAGGTGGTTTAACCAGTGCACCTATGAATATTTGTTCATGAATATTTGTTCTAATTCTCCAGGAAAGAGATTCTTGGAGGAAACACTTTAGCAGTCAGAAACCTAAAAAAATTATTTAGGTACCAATAGAACAAATGCTTATGAGGTACCAATTAACAGTGTTAACCTCTGGGCTGTCATTTACAAGGGACTACAAAGCTTTCCATTCCTCTCTTTTTTTTTCAGCATAGGAGATTGGTGCTTTTCCACCTCTTATTTTTATATTCATCCCAATATTCATTTGTAACTTAAAAATGGTGTCAACAAACTCCTTCCCATAAACAAAATGTTAACAAAACTCATCCCACTCCAGAAATCCCTCCTATTTGCACTCCCAAATCATCCCAAATTAACCATTTTTATCTCCTCATATCCACTCTTTACTTTTCTATTGCTACATTAAGGGTTTAGGGTAACATTCTTATACTGCTTCCTACCAGAACAGAGAGGAAGAAAAAATTTCCCCAAGCTTGAACAGATTGCATTACACTTAGAAAAATTAGCATGTCCATGGGATTAATGATGATGCTATTTGATAGTAGTAGAAAACAAAGCTGCATGAGTTACAGGGGACAAAGGAGAGTATCCAAAATGGCCAACTGTGGGTGAAGAATTTTCTGTGCAGTAAAAGCAGAGAGAACATAATGTACAACCTTATTCTGCAGTAGATCATTCAATTCCAGGCTAAAGTTAGTCCATGAAAAAAGTGACTCTAAAGAACATGCCATAAATTCATTCCCCTAGGCGATTCCATCCTGGGGTCACAGCTAGCTTGATACCAACTGGTTCCCCCACCACCCAGTGCTCAGAATCTGTAACAATGCCAGCTTAGGTGAGCTAGTCATGTGTCTGCTCCTTACTAAGAGAGTAAATTTTCTACAGATTAAAGTCTGGGATAAATTACTTGGTAGTAATTGTATCAGGCATCTGCACTCTTAGATAATAAATCCTCTTTATCTCTTTGTAGTAGGAGGCACTAAAAGGAGCATATGTAAGCTGTAAGAAAAAGCCATGAATGTGCTGAAAGTAAACCTTAAAAGGGGGTTTTTTTGGTTATTTTTAAATAAATATTTGTTTTCTAACTAGATATTTTTCTATCAGCAAGTCACTTGAGTTCCTTGCATCTATTACAAATCAGCAACAAATGTCAGATCCTCTTTATTATTAGAACAGGCTAATAAAATGTTTATAAGTAGCATCTAGAAAAAGATATAATTCCATAAGGGCATTTGGCCACAACAAATATCAAACGAACTTTTTACATGGTTGAAGGTTCAGGTTCCAAGCCACGCCAATTAGTGCATTCCTTTTTTTGAAAAAAGAAAATGGCACCCTTGAGGCCAAGAGTGTGTGCATATGCCTCTCACTTTAGTGATGACACAAAGATTCTTCACTTAAGAGTTTTTTCTTTTTTTAATTTTATGAAAGCGGAACCTTGGAACCCTCTCTCAGACAAATACCCAGAGGATTTTATTGTGTAATTTTAGTTTTAGTAGTATAAGAATTGATACCAGATGTGAGCTAATTGGTTTCAGTTATTCACCTTTTTAAAGTGTTTAAAAATGCATCCACCAACCAATTAGCGATCAGGCCACTTAAATGATTGTAAATGGAGGGGCTGTCTTGCCACCCAAGGAAATAACATAAGTCACACTTAGGTCTATTTCAAGCTCATGAGTTACCAAAAATCCCCCACAAATTCCAGACCACACAGGCTGAATCCTGCAGGAGATTTTTCCATTGCTTTCCTCAGTTTTCAGCAAAAGAAAAGGTCTTAGATCCCCTGCTGACTCATTTAACAAACTTTTTGTTACTGATTTACTTTGTCAGTTACCAGTCACACAATGGACCTTATCCACTGAAGCCCACAGAAATAAGAAGGACTCTTCCAGGTGATTTCAGTGGGCTTTAGAGCATGACATCAGTACAGTATAGATCACTTAAGATGCCCATTTAAATTATGAATGAAAAGGTGAACAGCTAAAACATTTAAATCATAGTCAATATTGGTACAGTATAGGCAACTTAAGACACACATTTAAATCATAAAAAGAGTATTACCCACTTGCCAAAATCCATTTATTTAATATTAAAAAGGTACCACTTAAACTGTTTTACCTATGCTGGCTAACTCAGTAGAAACAGCCTGCTTTCAGTAGTTCACACCTCATTAACGCTTGGAAACTTATTACTCAGACCTGCCCCTCACCTCTGCTCAGCTATTCACACCTCATTAAGGATTCTTATACTGGTAGGGAGAGGGCCTTTTCTCTAATAACAGGCTTGACATTGACAGGATATACTCTTGTTTCCAGGATGCTATCAAGGCAGCATTAACAGTGGTTCAGAGAGACTAGAAAAATTAACCACTCAACTTGTAAACTGGACAATTTTTAGATTGTGAAATGAACCCACTGAAAACAGCTTATGCTAAATCAAAAACTTGAGAGTCCAAAAATTATTTGTCCAAAATTATCAGGTGAGAACTTCTGAATGAAGGATGGATATTTTAAAAAATAGGAGAAGTTCAAGAACAAATTACTGAATAGGAATTCAGGAAAATTCAAGCTAAAGCTGGAAAAGAGAATGGTAATTCTACCTGGTTAAGGATTTCACTATTTTTGAGGACCTTATTTAGGTCCCTCTTGGGAAAAAATGTTTTCTAAGTTTTCTATTTTTGCAATGTGAAGTTTCAGTGAAATGGAATTCCTGCTCTTTGCCCAGTTCTGCTGGGGTACTGGCTCCCGGGCAGTCCTCCTACTAGGTCACATCGAAGCCAGGGACTCTGGAAACTGTGTATATGTCAACAGCACACAAGCAGAGCACTCGGTCAGACATCAAAGTCAAGAAACCCCACCCAATTACTCCTACTCAATACATGTGATGCAATGAGGATACTCTGGGGCACCTCAGCTTGACTGTTCTTTAGCAACCTAGAAACCCAGTTCCTGCTCAGTGAATGGATAAGAAACCCAGGTCTTAGAAACAGTACCTGTAGCTGATTAAGAATCAGGCCAGTTTTGAAAATATGCATGGTTTCCAATGGAATTTTGTCAAAATTGAACCTCTTTTTTCAAATGTTTCCACTTTGACAAGTCAACAAATTATCCCCTCTTCCCTCCTGAAGGCGAAAAAAACCCTTTTACTTTTTCCTATTCAGAACAAGTTATTCAACATCCTTTAACTGTGACTTGTAGTCAAAATTCAATGGAATGGAAATACAACATAACAAAAAATAATTATGGGAAAAGTTCTAATCGCTTTCTACAATCCATATTGCTTGGGTATGTGCTAAATAGTTGGCAATTATGTTCTCTGTGCGGCAACATAGCTGCACAGTCACTGAGGAGGCAATGTCAGCCAAGTCCTTATGTAATTAACCTGGGGCCCATCTGTTCATGCCCTATCCCTTTCCCATAGTGCATTTCCACTAAGAGATCAGGTACAGAAACCCTAGACACTATAAAAAGTCAAAAGATCCATAGATTGACACTAAACCCATTGGGACAGAAACGATATGTCTGAACAGTACCTACCCGAGGTTGGACCCCTTTCCATTTTCTACAGAAAAAGTAGGCCAGTTTCACTGAAACTTCATCACCCACAATGACAGGGGAAGAAGCTGGATTTATCTCACTGAGCAAAACCCACAACACTCCACATTCAGCAGTGGAAATGCACTCAGTGGAATATGCTTCGTTTGTTTCAAGCTCAAGCCCTAAAAATTGAGAAATCTCCTATTATTCCTTTGATTATTTAAGAAGTTGGACAGCCCTGAGCTAAGTGGCAGGGGACTGCATGCAGCATGGGCCACAAGAGCAGGGATCACACACCCCAGAGGCTGCACGAGTGCAAGTTACTGGCCCCTCGGCCATACTCCCCACCACCCCTTGCTGGTATGCGTGGTAGCCTCCCTGCTCCCCCATAACTACAAGCAGCCTCCATCTCAGTTCCTCACTATACCACACCACAGGCTCCCTCAGTGATGTGGGCTGTCCCGTCCGACCCTCTGGGGTGGGAACAAGAAGCAAAAGCTGAGGGAGGGAGGTGGAAGCTTAAAGATCCTGGCTGGCAGCTGCTACAGCAATAAGGTAGGAGACTATGGGCTGCAAAGTAACCCCTTGCAAGCTGCATGCAGCCCATGGGCTGCCAGCTAGAAAGCCTAGCCCTAGCTCATTTTTTCAGATGAAGAGGTGACTATTTTGCTCACTAGTTGAAACACTTCGTTGTTCTGTAACAGCCCCAGAAACTTGTTGAGCTAGCTTTATATTTACTATCTGTCTGAACTTTCATTATGATGCCAAATACTAAAATAAGAAATTCTAGGGGGACACTGGCTACTTAACTGACTTTCATTCAGGATATTTAAGGATCACATTATCAATACTCTGTTCCTTTGGTGGATTTTATCCCATGTCTCAGTAATACACCACCAATGAAAAGAACTCATCATTTAGACTTAAAAAAAATTAAAGGCAAACTGACAAAAAATAAAATAATTGTCAGTATCTTATTAGCCTGAATTGAAATCAAGTTATGGGTAACAGATGGTAAAAGCAAAAATTCACACTTATATTTTTGCCTGTAGGGCTTTTGTTTTTCAAAAAAAAAAAGAAAGAGAATTTCAGAAGTACATTTAGCCTGATGCTAGGAATAGTCAGAGCAGCCTAAGACACTCTGTGAAAGGGTAACTGACTGAAAATACCGAATATGTGAAAATCAAAGTGCATTCATTTTAGCTTGTTAATAGCCATATATTAGATTGACAGATCTTGGAAGAACCAGAAGCTGCGGTTTTACTTTAAAGCTTAACTTGCTTTGCTAATTTTCAGAGGAACTTTCCAGTGAAAAAAAATGCATGCCTGTTTACCTCCAGAGAATTTTAATCTTCTTTGTTATCCTCCCCA